AGTATAATATCGATGCAGATCTGGTTGATACTCATCATATCCACAAGTGTAGTATAATATCGATGCAGATCTGGTTGATACTCATATCCACAGCTGTTGCAAAGAATGTTTGTCTGTATTTCGTTCAAGGAGGCAAGTCATCCCTGGTTGTCCAATTTTTTTCTGATTGAACTGGGGAAGTGGCTTGCTTGTAAGATAATTGACCACAAAAAAGCTGCAAGCTACACTTCTTTCTTTTTATTAATTTTTTTTGGGTACATGCTTTTCTAATATGAAGGCGGTACTTATGCATTTATGCTAAGCATATCGTTGTTTTGACAGAAATTTCTCTCATTGTTAATGTCATTTAATACAACAGTTTTTTTTTAACTCAATAATTTAAAGTTGAACTGCTGCAGTTTTGACAAGTTCGCAGTGACTCTTTTTCATTATTGTGAGTGATGTTACTTTTATTTGATGATATACTTTCCAATCTATTTGTTACTTCTATCCACAGCTGCTTTTTACATTGGCAATTCAACATGCCTTTTTGTTATGCTTCGTTTTTTTTATTATTTTATTTTTATGTTAATGTCATTGTTTTTTAGGAGTGCAGCAGATCTGGATCCTTTGCAGCCTCTTTTAAAGAAATACATTTGCTTTTTGGGGACTGAGGTTCCTCCGTTAACCATGGATAATTCAAGGCCAAGAGTACAACTTGAGCGGACAACTGTTTGGATTGGAGTGAAAGCTCTGTATGTACACTAAGGATCAAAGTCTGCCTTAGTTTTTCTTGCTGTAGAGTAGCCTTAGTTTTTCTTTCTGTAGGGTAGTCTTTTCATGGCAAATACTTGCTGTAATCAATTCTATGTAAAAGGCTACTTGTTTTGTGCAATCTTTCTGAACCCACTCCTTTGTTCTTTTTATCATTTTTTTGTTTTTTGTAATACGTTGCTCTTAAGATAGGCTTGGATTTCTTGAGGCCCCTGCATATGAGGAAGGGATATTAGAGAGATACCCTGTTTTCCTGAGCATCGTTCTTAACCATGTCAGTGGTGACACACTGGATTTTTCCTATGCTGTTGCTTGTTTGAGGATATCATTTGAAATTCTTGGTGGGTTTTCTGTTGGTGTATTCTGTCATAGGAAGTCTATACATTTAATATCTTAATTCTTTTCAATTGTGCTCTACTTGTAGGTAGTAAACTTTGGCTGAGGACTGCATTGTCACCCAGCGTGATGCGTAACACTCTATTGGGTCAATGTTTTCATTCCAGAAACGAGAAAAGCCACAAGGAAATTTTTGACCTTTTCCTCCCATTTTTGCAGGCAAGCCAGCTAATCTTATTATTTAGTTGATGTTTTTCGGCAAGTGATGTTTTCTAGGCTTTACCAGCTTCTCTCTGCAAACTATGCATAATTTGTGGTTTCAATTGTGCATTTTATAGTCTCTTGAAGCCCACCAGGATGGCGAGCATGAAAAACAGAGAAGGAATTTACTGTATTTTCTTTTGCATCAAGTAACCCAGAGTAGCAATTTCAGTGACCTGATGAGAAAGAATGCTCGCAAGGTTTGCTTTTGCAGTTTTTCAATAATTTAGTTGATTGTTTCCGCAACCCAGAGTAGCAATTTCAGTGACCTGATGAGAAAAAATGCTCGCAAGGTTTGCTTTTTCAATAATTTAGTTGATTGTTTCCGTTTAGGTCAAGTATGTTATGAGTTTTGCCGTGGGCTTGATTCATACTAGTCTTTGCCAAATTAAATACTTTTTTTTATCGTTGCTTATGTATTTTTTTCATATTAATCTTTTATCTTTTGGTTATGTTTTTTCATATTAATCGTTTATCTTTTGGTTATGTTTTTTTCAGATAGCACTTTTAATTGTACATCGCGGATACAAAATGGATCCTCCAAGTCCACCTTTTGAATGTGCACATATGTGGTACGTAGTTAACAAGTGTATGCTCCATTTATATGCTTTGTTTTGATTTTTTTCTACAGATATGCATTTCACTTTGATGCAGTATATTACTTCATTTTAGAATATCTATTGGCAATGTCAGTCCATACATATCTTGTAGTTTGGCTTGTTTTTTCATAGTTCCACCTTGCATTTTGTATTGTTTTGTAGTTAATTTGCTTAAAATATTAAAGGAGCTTATTTCTCGAAGTGGTAAGCAATGTTTTGTTTGTTCTACAATTTTTGGTTTTTGCCTTTACTATGGTACATTGTGATTTAATTCTTACTATCATTACCATCAGCTTTATCATCATTTCATATATAATTGATAAAAAAGTTTATCCTTTTTTCACATTTGAGTATGCGTTTTAAGGAGCTTACTTGTCAAAGAGATAACAATGTTTTGTTTATTCTACATTTTTTTGTTTTTGCTTTTACTATGCTACTATGTGATTTGATTTTCTTATCATCATCATCATCAGCCTTATCATCATTTCATTTATAATTGATAAAGTAGTTTCTCCCCTTTTCACATTTGAATGTGCGTTCTAATGTTTTAATTACTGAAAGAGTTGAAGCGAAGAAATAGATGATATGCCACTATTTTTTTTATATAGCATATGATTGCTAGATTGAATTGCCATATTATGTTTCTTTGATCGGTTGTTTTCTACAGATTTTCCATTTATTTTGATCATTGTACTTTGTTTCTGATAATTATGTGGTCTATTTTTCCTTAAGTTCAATAGTATTTAATTGTTTGGAGAGGATTGGCCTCATGTAATGGTTGGATTGCTTCCATTGTGATTTGAATTTTGTAGGTTTGATCAACATGATTAGCCACTTTACACTGCATAGTTTGGACTGTGTTTGTCTACCCTTCCCCACATCCTGCATTATTGTGGTCTCATTCACTGGGCGTACCTCGTATGCTCTGCCATTTGCATTTGAATCGAATTCTGGCCTGCGTGGGGTGGCTCATCGTTATTTTACTTTTGTTGTTAAAAGCTACTTTTCTAATTTCAAACTACAATTTTTATTATGCTTTCTCAAAAGAGGCTATTATATGACACATTTTTAAAAACAATGTGAAAATTCTATCATCTGAATGGTTACTGTTTTTTTTAAACTATTTTTCCTTCTACAAAGCTAGTAAAAAAACTATCCAAAGTGAAGCTTTAATAAATTAATGATGATCATGCGTGAAACTCTGTTCACATGTAGGCTAATACTGCATAATATCAGAGATGATAAATAATAGATTAAAATCACTATTATTAATTAATAATTAATGATTTATTAATGTAGTGGTTATTAGGAAGATAACTAGTATATTGCCCATCAACAATCCTATATTTGTGTAGCAATATTATTTAGGTGAAAACGCTCAAAGTAGTTTATCTATTTTTAGTAAACTGTACAAAATTGATTCTTTTTAGTCCTCTTAAATTAACAATTATAATTTATGAAAGTGAGAGGTAAGTTCTGTCAGAAGTTGTAGGGGATGCTTGTTTTAGGAAATCTGAAAATTTATAATTATTTTTCAAAATTAAAAGAAAAGTTATTAAACATTTTAGAAAAAATTGATCTAACTTGGAAAAATTTTTGATAATGTCAAGAAAAAATATCGAATAAAGAGAAACATTAATGTTTTGGAATGAATAATTTTAGCTAAATTTATTTCATCGGTGTAAAAACTTTTTAATATTTTGCAACAAAATATATGAATCCATTGGAAGCAAGTTGGACATATGGTGCGTTTGGGGCAGTTTATTGCTGCATTTGGCGTTTTGAAAATGCCAAAATTATGTTTGGTTCGAGCGTTTAGCGGGCGGTTTAAAAGCTCCCTTTACATTTTATTAAAAGAAGCGGGTTTCGGGATTGACCACGCTTCCCGTTTCGATGGACTGTATTTCAGCAGCAAATCCCTCCCATGTGTTTGGTTCGAGCGTTTAGCGGGCGGTTTAAAAGCGCCCTTTACTTTTTATTAAAAGAAGCGGGTCTCGGGATTGACCACGCTTCCCGTTTCGATGGACTGTATTTCAGCAGCAAATCCCTCCCATGCCTTCTCCTTCTCGTGCGACCGCGCTAGTCCCCGTATTCCCCACACGTCATGGTCTTCCTTCTACTCCTCTTCCTTATGACCAAAAGAAGTGGATCTTTCGACGAGATCTACCTAGGTGAAATCTTCTTCAATTGTTTGCTATTCTTTCTGGGCCAATCGTCGTTGCCGGCCTTCTTATTTGTTTCTTTTTTTTTTTTTGGTTTCATCATTCGCTTGTTGGCTCTTTCGAGATCATCACTGTCAAGATCGTGAGTATACATTATACATCCGTTGCTTTCTTCTCTGAGCGGCTTGTTGGCTCTTTCGAGATCATCACTGTCAAGATTGTGAGTATACATCCGTTGCTTTCTTCTCTGAGCGTTGGTTTATATTTTTGTTTTCTACTTCTGATTTGATTTACCTGCATGAATTAATTTATTAAGCTCTTATTCGGTCCCCTTTTTGTTCCCGCTACCTTCTAGAACTGGTGCTGCTGTTAATTTATTTTGGGAAATAGATTTTGGTGTGTTTATCTAGGAAGCTTGGTTAATTTTTTTCCTAAATTCGTTTGTGTGTGTGTCGGTTTGTTTCAAGTATTTGGTTTGTTGTTGATATAAATTGTGATCCCACTGCTTTTCTTAGGCTCTTTTGGTCGCTTGAAGTTTGAAAACGTGATTTGAATGACAATGAAATTTGTTAAATCTATCAAAGGTTGGATGATATGTGAATACATAAGAATTGTGTGGTATGTTCGTAAATGCTCCTTTTGTTTATTGTCATTTCTTGAATAGTGCTTGTTTAGATGGCTAATGATTGAAAGTACTTCTAATTTCATATGCATGGGTGGTTTTCCAAATACAAAATGATGTGGTTTGGATGGGAGGACAATGCCCATGTTTTTGACTTGCTTGGTCCTAGTCTTGAGCATTTGTTTGTCTATTATGGAAGGAAATTTTCTTTGAAAACAATCTTGATGTTAGTTGATCAGATGGTAAAGAATCTGATGTGTTTACTATGCCAGTTTTTATTTTGGAACTTGTAACATGGCTCATTTCTTATCAACTCTTACTTTTGTAAGACTAGTTTTCAAGCATAGGAGCATGCAGTTTGGTTCATTGCAGCTTGGAGAGCTAGATATTGCGGGTTCTCTATGGTTTTGCTAATGTCCTTATGCTTGCTTCTAGGAATGCCAAAATGTGCGTTAGATTAGGTTTCAATTCTAGTATAAGCTGGCCCAACATATTTGTTTCAATAAGCTTGGCATATTTCATTAAGAATGGCGCACGACTATTAAAAAAGTTGCAAATTAGTTGTTTGTCCACAAACCAAATAGCTAAACAACTTATTCAGAACAAGAGAAAAATGATCATTTATCCATAAACAACTACAAATCAGTTATTTTTCAAACGCACAAACCAAACAGCTAGCCGGTAGCCAGCTTATCAAGATAAGCTGCTGATCAACAACTTATCAGTAAAAATTTGTTGATCTGGATAAGCTGGATAAGTTGGATAAGCTGGATAAGCTGCGACTGCCCCAAAAAGACCCATAAATTTTTTGCAAAATAAAATGACCCGCAAACTTGAGCTCCTTCTCTTGGGCCGACTGCTTCCTTTCATCTGCGATAGGTAAGGAATGGAGTAACATAAGGTAGGAAAATGTAAAAATATCCAAAAAAAACTTTAAATTCCTTTTAGGCATCAAATTTTACACATTTTTTTGTTATTTTTTAATTCAGGACTATATGGGATCATAATTTGTTTTGAATGACTAAAATAGAGACTAAATAGTTTGGGGATGATATAGCCACATACAAATAGTTTGGGATCTTTTTTTTTTATTTTTTTCTCAGTCTATATTTAAATAGATATCATATGCATTCAATATTAATTATTATTGTTGAGACATATTAAAAATTGATACTAAACCATTTTGTTTAATGAAGCTTTTGATTTATTTTGATTAGATATTTGTATGAACTTTTCTAAAAAAAATCAATGATGCCTTTTAATGAATTTTGTTGTCATATTTTAATATTATAAAGTTCAATAACAAAATTACTCAACCTCATCTTTCTTGCCGCACAGAGACATGCTAATTACCTATCATTTTCTCATTGTTTTCATGCAATTGTCATTTTTGTTTTGTTTCTTTTAGGTGTTGTTTGGTTTGCTGAAAATTAAGTACAAGATAAAACGTTTGCACAGTACTGTTATTACAATGTATTTGAAATACTTTATGGTTGGTTGGTTCACTGTAAAATAAATGCAAGACTTTATATTTTTTTATTTGGTTTGAAGTAAATTGAAAATAATGTAAGATTTTATTTGGGTAGCGATGGCGGCAGCTGCGGCTTGCGGCG